AAAAAGAAAGAAAGATAGATATATATTCAAGACCCATGGCTGCCTGCGGCGCACTTAGTGCCAACGGACTGTGATAGTCCTCTGGATACCCCTGATCGGTATATTAGCCTGGTCTATGACCAACACCGGTGAGTGTGTGGGTGCCAGTGGGTTGTGTGTGGTGTGTGGGAGACTGTTGGCCATAGCCTCTGCTGCTACTCGATGAGGGGTGGGGGACGATGAAAAAGGGAGGCGCAGCTACTGGCAAAATGCTCGGTCTTTGCGTTCGCCGCACCCCCACCAGCAGCCCCACCCCCCGGGGGGCAACATGCAGGGGTCCCCTCTATATAGTCTTAGGTAGGTAGATAGTGTGAGGTGAATTTGAGAGAAGAACATAGCTTTTATAATAATAAATAAATAAAAAACATATATATTCAAGCCTATCAACGGTCCTATAATGGAGTTTACAGCTGAAGTGGCACTACGACGTGAAGCGGCGCTATGAACATTCGGGTAGAGGAGCACCCTGGAACGCACCCTGCCCGCCTATCCTCGCGATTGGATGGGCGGCACAAATTTCCAAGGCATCGCCACACCACTCTCCAAATGTGCCAAATGAGAATGAACTTCCCGCTAGAACATGGCCAGATGCGCCCGCCACATTATTGTCTTTTTCACATTTCTAGATTGCTTTGGCGAGGCCCTAACACTTGCGTTGGCGCGCAGCTTGCGAAGGTCCTGTCCCCCGCGGCGCATGCGGCATAAGGGTTAAAGATATACCAAATGCACAAATCTGTCCATGTCAATACCTTTCTCGGCCTTATGGCTAAGATCAAGTCTAGTATCTGTTCTCATCAGTTTAATATCTGATCCATGGTCCATCGGACCATTAAAAAAATATATGTCCATGTCTAGCGGAAGATTCATTCTCATTTTGTACATTCGGCGAGTAGTGCGGCTATCGCCGTCAGCTGTAGGCAGACTGGGACAAGAGGACAACAAACGAGGGGCTGCGACGGACTGTTTCGTCGGAGTTTCACCGACTCAACACATTGGAGTATCACCTTGTGGACCCTTGTGGATGGATCGCCAAGGCTCTCCTAGGATGGCTGTCTCCTCCGTCCAAACCCGTCAATATCTACCGCTCTCTCTCTTGCACACAATGAGCGTGATGCATCTACAGCACACGTCGTCACCACCTCTGCACACACTCACCCTCCAGTTTCCAATCCCCTCCCTTACGCCCCCTCCTCCTTTACGCCCCCCCCTTCCCCCCCGCCGCGAGAAGAATGCCTCCATCTCTCTGAATCCCTCCTCTTCCTTCTTTTCGCCTTTGAATCTGTACATGTCCAACTAATACTGTAAATGCCCTTCGTCCTCCCTTCTCCGTTTCACTCTCTTCCCTCTTCCTGCCCGTCTCTCTTCTTCTACCTCCCTCCTTACCCCCCTCCATGACCGCCCATCGAAGTCCTTCGTCCTCCTTCTTTCTCCTCTTCTTCCGTTCCTCTTCTCCCGCTTCCTTCCATGTCCGATGATCTACCGTCTTCCCCCGAACACAACGCACCCTCATTTTGACTGCATCGGACCGGAAAGACGGCTTGTATACGTTCATTTTCAGCGTGCGTTATGTTCGGGGGAAGACGGTAGGTATTTCCTACTCTTCTTACCCTCTTTCCCGTTCCCTACCCCCCCCACCTCCCTTCCCTCTCCCCCTTCCCTTTGTTCCCGTCCACATGCAGATCTAAGACGGTGTCCCTACTCCATGTCCTCATCCATTTCCTCCTCAATCTACTCCTCCACTTCCTCATCCATTTTCTTATCCACTCCCTCCCTTCATCTTCTCCTCCGCGTCCTCATCCTATTCTCCCAATGGCATAGATTCTCTTCCTTCAGTTCATATCACTCAGAGCGAAGTACTTCATCGTGGTCGCTTCTGCTGTCCCTTTCCCAAGTCCTCTTCCCCTTTGTCCACGTCAGACCCCTCCCCTCCTCCTCACTCACTTCGCACCCCCCCCCCCCCCCCCCCCCCCCTCCCCCTCGTTCCTTCCTTTCGTCCACCCCCTACCCTGTATCCCCTACCCACCTACCCCCCCTACTCCCTCTCTTCCCCTCTTACCTTCTATGTGTACGTCAACGCGGGGTGCTATGTAAGTAATATTGTATATTGTACAACCACGACACGATCACGGTAATACGAAGACTACCGTCTTCACCCGAATAGAACGCCCGGTCATTGTAGCCGTATTTGGTGCAACTTTCAGACTAGATACGGCGATAATGACCGGGCGTTCTATTCGGATGAAGACGGTAATCATGCACGGACAGAACACGGAGAGGCGGAGGCGGCGGCGGCGGCGGCGGCGGCAGAGATGGTGGTCGTAAGGAGAACAAGACGCTGCCTACTACTCCTACTACTACTACTACTACTACTCAATATAAGGGTCCGATCCCACTACCCTGGATTATTCATTTTTCACCCGCGATTACGAAGATCAACGGTCAGAAATGAACAATAGCGGCTAGTGGGATCTGGCCCTAACTCAGGGACGAGGGAATTACCCGAAAAGAGCGGGCAATCGTCTCGAACACCTCGCTACGCTCGGGCCAAGATGTCTGTGGTGTCTGAGCATTCAGCGAGTAGAGACGGCCATCCACGCACGCAAAAACCGCTCGGTTGTGTCTGAACCATTGATCTGTCTTAACTGTGTATTCCAGATCATAGTAACGAACCCCACGTGTACCACGTGGCCCCACCACACGTTCGCCTGCATAGATAAGCTCTGCTTCTTTCCTGCCCATCGATTGCCTTCCTCCCTCCCCTCCTCCTCCTCCTCCTCCTCCTTCTCCTTCTCCTTCTCCTCCTTCCGCTGATGATGCTTGTTGTCGAGGTATGGCAACCAACCTATCAAGCAGGCGACGCCCGACGGACGTCGGGGAGCCGAACTGCTCGAGACGAAAGTCCATCGGTACGGGGGACACGACGACACTAACATTCTCTTCGCCGCTGCCACGTGGCGGCCCAAAAGCCACAACGGGATCTCGACGGCTTTTTTGCCGCCGCCTCCGCTCCCTCTCCGCGTCTTTTAGAGACGGAGGATCGAGAGACCGTACGGCATCCACCCTTTCTACTGCTCGATACAGTAGCCGTTGATCACCAAGCCATCGGGCGGGGTAGACGAACTCAAATCCTCTGCTCTGGTCAACGCAGCGCCGAAGTCCTTTGACTGGGAACAGAGTGTCGAGACGGAGGCGGCGGGCGACATCATCATCGATGCTCAAGATTGCACTTGTGATTCCCGCCAAATTCCCGCCAATCGCTACGCTCAGCGCAATAATGGAGCCAAGAACCGCTCGCCGTTTGGACGGAAGACGGCCTGCCCACGTTACGACACGTGTCGGCGACACCTTCGCAGCCGCCGAGCCCTGAGATGGTCGCGTCTCAGTAGTCGATGGGTTGAAGCTGTTATTGTTGCTGTCCCCTCTTGCTCTTCCTCTCCCTCTTCTTGTAAAGGACCCTTCTTGCAGAGATCCATCTCCATCATTGTCAGATTGACCTCCAGCCAATGATGGTTTTTCCCTTGACCTCCGATCTTCCTCCACGCTTCGTGGGTGATGCTGCTCCGCCGCCATCGCCGAAGCATTGACATCACTCCTGCAACTTCCATCGAATGACGACGATGAGGATGATGACGACGTGACATCATCATCTTTCCGCACCTGCTGCTCCTTGCCTCTGTCAACGTCCTCTGATTGGCTGGTTACCCCAAGTCCTCCCTTTTCGTCAGGTCTCTTAATACCCTCTCCTCCTCCTCCTCCTCCTCCTCCTTCTGACCCTTCGCGACCAGGCTGCACTCCCTGCATCCAGTCTGCTGGTGAGCTGACTCTCTCCGATCCCCTCTCATACGTCCGATTTCCATTGAATGGATCTGGAGGGGAAGACTGCGTGGAATCTGCGCCGGCGTCGGCATTATCGGAGGCTGAGGAGGAGGAGGAGGAGGAGGAGGCGGAGCACCTTGAAGAGGAGGAAGGGGAGGAGGTGTAGGAAGAGGGAGAAGAGTGGGAGGAGCGCGAAAGAGGAGGAGAAGGCGACGCTGCTCTCTGGATGAAAAATGCTCGATCATGACGCCGTTGTTCTATGTGATTCGCTGAGTGGATAGTCGATGGGAAAGGGTCTCGTGGACGACGGCCATTCGCCTCTTTGGTTAATTGCCGCCTTCCGGCCGTTGATCGGCCAAAAGATCGGTCACTGCCGCACCCGGGATGGGCGAAATCATCGCCTGCCGGCGCGTAGGCACTAGCTTCTGACACGTGCCAGGCGGGCAACTTTTCGATCCGCCTTTGGGCACATTTAAGCGTGGTCCCCAACCTTTGGCCACACTTAAGCGTGGTCCCCCACCATCGATTTGCCACATATACTCGTGGCCACTTGGCACGCGGACAACCGCCCTCACATTCGATTGCCGCGAGCACTCGCGGCAGCGTCTGCCCTTGAGGCGGCAGACGGATTGGGGGCGGGCACGAACACGCCCGGCAGGAGAGACGACCCTGCTTCTCCCCCCCAAACCAGTTGTTTGGACACCCTCCTCTGACCCGGACGTCGTCGCTAATTAGCTCAGACTTGCGCACTTCGCCATTATTGCCTACTTCTCCCCTCTCCCCTCCGAGAGGATATGGCAGAGTGGTTATGACCGAAAGAGGCACACGTGCCGCTAACGACCCGTCCACGGCCATCATTGTGAACGCTCTAGACCAACGGATATTTCTTTAGTGAACGCTATAGACCAACGGATATTTCTTTACCCATCTGGGTACAGCCTTCGACTGATTGCTTGCATCGGGTTTCAGGTTTTCTATTTCACTCCCTTTCTTAGGGTTCTTTTCACCTTTCCCTCGCGGTACTTGTACACTATCGGTCACTGAGAAATACTTAGAGGGTGGTCCCCCATAGAATTCAAACACGGCGTACTGGTCATATCAACAGTTGAATGCTCTTAGACCATCTGAGTACCGTTCGGCCGCATGAAGCACACCGCAGTCGTTCATTACGGATAAGGTCATTTTTCCCCTCATCAGCCATTCTGCACCGGGGGCGAGAAGGACTGTAGTGCACCAAGGGGCCTAGCTCAGTTGGTACACCCCTGAACTGTTGAAATACAGACTAAAGTTCAAATCCAAATGCCCTCAGATGTGGAGAATAAAATCATTCTGAATTGCCTGGGGCCGGTCAGTTCAATGATGATATCTCACGGCCGTCGCCCATGTGGGGTTGGGGGGTGGGTAGGGGGAGGTGCAGTGACTGGCCATTGCTCAGCGCTAGCACCGCCGATTTCCCCCATCGGCAATGCCTGCCCACCCCTCGTCACCGTGATGAGGGACTGGTACAGCCTTGCTCTCGCACCACAGCTGTGGTGCAAACCTACCCCGTGGGCTGGGGAGAGATCCGGGTTGGTTGGTGTTCCCCCGTACTATAAATAGACTAGTGAGAGGATGAGATAGATGCGTACTACCAAGAAAGATGAAATAGATTGAGAGAAGAATATAGATTACTTTAGAAAAAGAAAAAAAAAAAAGACTGTAGTACCTCAACGCCTGGATCTGGACGCTTTTATGGAGATGTGCAGAAATGGTGTAGAGTTTCCTGAACTGCACGTCTCCACAAACACGTCCAGATTCAGGCGTTGAGGTAGCTCAACGCTGCTAGTGGGACTTGGCCCCAGGACATCCGAGAAGATTTTTTTTTGTTTTTTTTTCCTGATATTCTTCTCTCAAATCTTTCATCATCTTTCAAATTCTTTCAATTCACCTTCACTACCTACCTACCACTACTCCTAAGGCTTATACAGGGGACCCCTGCGAACATAGCTTGGTTGTTTCCTTCCAGCCATCAGAGGGGATGCATGTTGCCACCCGCCCCAACCGTGGCGGTCTAGGATGGGGTGGGGCCGCCGGCGAGGGTCCAGCTAATGCAAAGTCCAAGCATTTTGCCAGTAGCTGCACCTCCCTTTTCATCGTCCTCCACCCCCAACCGAATAACAGCAGTGTCTAAGGCCAACACTCTCCCACACACCGCACGCAACCCTCACACTCGCACACACCCGTGTTGGCCAAGGACCCGACTAATACCGATCAGAGGTATCAAGCGGAGTATCACCGGTGGTTGGTAGCATTGGCTCTGTGCAAGGATGACACACATAAATCGAGAAACGGTCCAAACTGATTTTTGAAAATACCCCTATAAGTTGAGATATATTGCAAAATGCCCCTAAAAGATGTGGGTAGAGGGGAGTGCCCTTTTGGGCCTAGTTCTTTTTGTTTTGCCCCTATCAGACCTGTGTGCAAATTACAATTTGGACCTCGGCGTTGGGGCCTGGGCCTGCACCCTTTTACCTGGTCTGCCCTCCATACTGGGTGGAGAACTCCGTGCAATACCCAGGCCCATAGGCACAGTAGTTTGCCGCCCTAATTCAAACTGCGAACTCGTTCAAAGTCTCTGCCGCTGCCTCACGCTGTGTTCGGCAGCTTCATTGATGGTCGCGGCTCCCCCTTGGTAAGCTTCCCCATCTCCAACTCCTCCGCCACCATTCCTCCAAAGTTTGCGATCCTCCTGCCTGCCACTCCTTCGAATCTCTCTCTCTCTCTCTCTCTCTCTCTCTCTCTCTCTCCTGTCTCTTATACACATCT